CGCTACCACTTCCTCGGGGGCAGGTTCGTACCGGCCGCGCTCCAAAAGAAATACGCTTTAAACCTGCCACCGTACCCCGAGACGGACTGCGTCCTGCAGCTGACCTAGGGCTGGGGCTCAGCGGGGGCTCGGGGTGCCGGGCTAGGTTTCGGCACAGCAGATCAGGGTCTAATTCTGTCAAAGCCGCAGCTCTCTGCTAGGAGGGTGCTCAGCACCTTGCTGGGCTCCAGTCCTACCCAGCTCTGCCAGCGGGATCGAAGTTTTTTGCAGACCGAAGCCCCCGGGAGCCGGGGACGGAGGGGGCGGCTGCTGGCAGGCTCTGTGTGGGGTTGCTACCTAATTCGAGTGCTTCTAGGTGTAGGCGCGATGTGGGATCCTGGGGTCTGCCACGTATTGTGCGCTTCGGGATAGTTTCACTGCAATAAAGATTTATTCATGCCCTTGAAAAAAAATATTTCAATACTCTGGGCGGGGTCTGTCGCCTTGTGTCCCTCTGCCACGGCGAATGGGTCCCTGCCCCGGGGCCCAGTGGGAACCGGGGTCACTCCCGACGGGAGGAAGGCTCAGGGAGTGAAATAAAGCTCGATCAAGTGGTCCCAGCCCAACAACCCCAGCAGCGAACACGCAGTTGGGCCACAGTGCTGGGCTCCAGCTGGGAAGAGCCCAGAGCACCGTTGGGCACCCGTCAGCACCAGCAGGATCGGGCCCCTCTCAGCCAGATGGCACAGGCGCTGCGCAGCACAGCAGCCTCGGCCCTTGCTCACTCTGGCTCCCTCTTCCTCTTCTTCCTCTTCTTCCTGGGACTGTGCCCAGCCTGGTCTGGCCCATCTGCGTCTTCTAGAGGTACCTCTGTCTCAGCCGGCTCTTCTTCATCCTCCTCCTTCTCCTTCCTCCTCTTCTTCTTCTTCTTCTCTGTCTCAGCCGGCTCCTCTTTGTCCTCCTCCTCCTCCTCTTTCCTCCTCTTCTTCTTCTTCTTCTTCTTCTCTGTCTCAGCCAGCTCTTCTTTGTCCTCCTCCTCTTCCTTCTCCTTCCTCCTCTTCTTCTTCTTCTTCTTCTCTGTCTCAACTGGCTCTTCTTTGTCCTCCACCTCTTTCTTCTGCTTCCTCTTCCTCCTCTTGGAGCCCTTCCCTTCCCCTCCCGCCACCTCCTCTTCTCCGCTTGGCTCCTGGTTCTTATTCTTCTTCCTCTTCACGACCTTCCCTTCCTCTCCTGTGACTTCCTCTTCTCCACTTGGCTCCTGGCTCTGCAGTACCTCGGGATCAGCTCCGTCCCTAGGCTGTTTCCTTTTTTTCTTCTTTTTTTCCTGCCTCCCTGCCGGGGGGCTGCTCTCCATAGGCTCACGCTGCCGCTCCTCACGTCGGTACATGGCCAGGAAGGCTCGCTCCTGCTCCTCCAGCCGCGCCAGTTTGG